AACCAGAGTTGAGCGTGCCTACCAAACTGTGCACACTTTGACAATCCTAGCAGCAGACTAAAACTAGGCATAATATAGAATACGTGTAGGCAGGGCGTAGCCGTTGACTCTAGAGCGATCAAGGCGCGATGCGATGGTGTGTGGTGCGGAATGTGAGTTCGAAGCGTAAGGATATTGAGCGGCGTGCGATGAGATATGGTGTAAAAATGCAGGTTTCGCATAACCCTCACGTTCGGCCAAGCGTAACCATCCCTCGCCCTCGCTTTCCTTCACCCGGGTCCCACGCTTCCTCTGTCCATCGCCCGCGTCGTCGCCTTCGCTTCCGCAGCCCATCGCATTCGCGGCCCCATCCCGTCGCCTTCGCTTCCCCCGCCCGTCGCCGCCTTCGCTTTCGGATGACCGTTGCCTTCTCTTATCCCGCCCGTCGCCTTCGCTTCTCCCCCCCGTCGCCTTCGATTTCCCCGCGCGTCGCCTTCGCTTCCCCCGCGCGGAGCCTTCGCTTCCCCCGCGCGGAGCCTTCGCTTCCCCTGCGCGGAGCCTTCGCTTCCCCCGCACGGAGCCTTCGCTTCCCCCGCGCGGAGCCTTCGCTTCCCCGCGCGGAGCCTTCGCTTCCCCCGCACGGAGCTTGGGGAGGGAGGAGCGGGCAGTGATGCTGGGCAGCTTCCCCGAGGACGAGGCGCGTCTGGGGGGGGACAGGCGGGGGAGGGAGGGGGAGAGGGAGGGCACGCGGGAGGGGGCTGGGGAGTGTTGGAGCGGAGTGAGAGCTACGACTCTCTACTGTCAGACATCAGCCGCGTCAGCTCCCTCGCTGAGAGGCGGAGGAGGAGGCGGAGGGGGAGGGGGAGGGGGAGTGGGAGGCGCGCTAGCCATGCCCTTGCTCGTGGGCATGGGCACGGGTGGCGGTGGTGCGATGGAGGGTGCCTCGGGAGCGTACTGGGCGACGGAGGGGAGCAGCAGCATGGGCGCCGGTGGTGCGTCGTCGGGTGCGTTCCTTGCAGTGCAAGGCATGGGGGGCAGCAGCAGCCCCATGGGCGGTCAGCAGCAGGGGGGGATTTCCAGCAGCACGGGAGGGTAACCCTCCGCCCGGCTCTATCCCCCCCTCCTCTGACTCGGCGGTCGCGCTGGCGCCTGCAAGGGCCAGGCTGGTGTTCTCTCAATCCACCTTCTCCCCGCCCTCTCCTGCCTTCACCATTGGCGCCTCGCCCCCGCCTCCTGCACTCACTCTCACTGCTGCGCCTGCTGCTCCTGCTGCCGCCGCTGCTCCCGTTTCTCCAGCTGCAGGCACAGGTGCCGGAGGCAGTGCTGCTGCTGGTGCTGCTGGTGCGTCCGCCCTGCGCAGCCCGGTGGGTCTGGCAGCCTCCCTGGCACCAGCGTCACAGCGCTGCTCCTCGCGACGCCCCTCTGCGCAAGGTGCCTCCTCTGACTCGGCGCGCAAGGGACCCCATGTGCCCGCATCTGCGAGTGCTGGCGGTGCTGGGGACGTGCTGAGGGAGCCGCTCTTGACACGGCAGCAGGAGGAGGAGGAGGAGGGGGAGGGAGAAAGGCGCGCAGCTGGCGCAGCAGAAGTAGCAGCAGTTGTAACTCCTAGAGCAACAGCAACAGCCCGAGCAGCAGCAGCACCACCACCATCCGCACTGCCTTTCGCTCCACAGCTATACATGCCCTTCTGTACCTCCAACCTCCAGCCCTTGCTTATTCGCCATACCCACTCTTCCCTCCCCGTTCTATCACAGAACCATGCTTGTACAGGTGCCCAGCACCATGGGTCCCAACAGGAGTGGGATGGAAAGTTACCACCTTCCAGATTTGTGCATTGTGCCTGTAGTCCACTGGCGACAACTGTAAGGAAGAAGATCTCTTGCTTTGTTGCATTTCATTGTCGTGCTCACGTACATGGCTGCTCCGAGGCCCAACGTGTTGTATCATGAGAAGCATCCAACATACATGGCATGGCTATTTGTCATACCACTATCATCAAAGAGTGAAGGCATCACAGCTAGATACATGGCAGACCTGCACAAACACGAACCACAAAATCTAATGTGCCAAGAGTCGAAGCAGCGGGGAAGGATACAAAACAATGACAATGCAAGGGCAGGCAGGCAACAAGAAACAAGCCCCTAGAACAAGGTAGGAGTGTATAGGCGTGGCAGGGTAGAAGGGTGCGGAGGAATGGTTGACGAGAGGAAGTGAGGAGGCTGAGAGGAAGGGAGGATGGCAGCGAGGGACGCAGGGAACAGGGAATATGAGGAGGGAGAAATGAGCAAGGGAGACAAGGAGGAAGGGCGGAAGAGAGGATGAGATGAAGGGAGGGAGGAAAGGGGAAAGAGAGGGGAGAAAGACACTGAAGCATAGAGTAGGGCAGAGGGTGGAAGAGAGGAAGAAAGGAAGGGAGGAAGGGAGGACAGGAGGAAGGGAGGGGGGAGGGAAGAGAGGGAGGATGGGAGGATGAGAAAAAAGGAGGGTGAGACGAAGGGAGGATGAGCGCAAGGGTTGGAGGGTGGAAGGGGAGAAGGGGGGATGGGAGGATGTGAGGATCAAGTTGGGAGAGGACAAGTGGGTGAGACGGAAAGGTGGACTAAAAGAAGCTCGGAAGGTGGCAGTCTGAAAAGAAGAGTGGCAGGGTGGAAGAGAGGCAGGAGGATGAAAGAAAGAGTGGGTGGGAGAGTGGTACGGAGGAGGGAGGCTGGGAGCACGGGCGGACGGGAGAAGTGAAGGAGGGAAAGAGAGAGAAAGAGAGGAGGGAGGCATGGAGAGTGGAAGGACGGACAGGAGAAGGCAAATAAGAGGAAGAGGAGGAAGACGGGACGGCTTCCTGCCCCCCCTCCCCCACTCCCCTGCCCCCCTCCCCAACTCCCCTGCCCCGCCTCCCCCACTCCCCCCTCCCTCACTCCCCTGCCACGCCTCCCCCGCTCCCTTGCCCCACCCCCTCGCCCCCTTGTGCACAGCGCTCCTCACTGCCCGCCTGCACGAGCTTCCCCGGCTGTGTGCGGGGTTGGTGCGAGAGTGAGGAGGAGGTTGCTAAGCTTGCTGTGCTGCCATTGGGTTGTGAGTGACACAGCGTGAGGGGCAGGGTGCGTGCTCCTCGACTCGCACCCCATCAGCTTTCATTCTCCCCTAGCCTTCGCACCACGCACCCTCACACACCCCACAGCGAACAATTCACGACCCCATACCCAGCGCCCAGGCGCCATACATCTCTGCGTTTAGTGTGGGCGAGAAGCAAGGGAGAAGGGAGAATGTGAGAGAATGAGAAGGGTTCAAGTGTGGGGTGGTAACCATGGACGACGGTAGGAGTGGTGAAGGTAGAATAGGGGGAGAGAGAGAGGCGACGTGTGACGAAGAGGGTGAACGTGATAGGCAGGGAAGTGATGACGACGGCGGAGTGTAGGGGAGGGTGGGAGGAAGCGAGGGCGACGGTGGGAGGAAGCGAGGGCGACGGTGGGAGGAAGCGAGGGCGACGGTGGGAGGAAGCGAGGGCGACGGTGGGAGGAAGCGAGGGCGACGGTGGGAGGAAGCGAGGGCGACGGTGGGAGGAAGCGAGGGCGACGGTGGGAGGAAGCGAGGGCGACGGTGGGAGGAAGCGAGGGCGACGGTGGGAGGAAGCGAGGGCGACGGTGGGAGGAAGCGAAAGCGACGGTTGGAGGAAGCGAAGGCGACGGTGGGAGGAAGCAAGGGCGACGGTGGGAGGAAGCGAGGGCGACGGTGGGAGGAAGCGAGGGCGACGGTGGGAGGAAGCGAAAGCGACGGGAGGGGGAGCGTGGTCAACGACGGAGTAAAGTGTGAGCGACAGCGGGAGGAAGCGAGGGCGACGGTGGGGGGAAGCGTGGGGGACGGCGACGGCGACGAGGGGAAGTGTGGGTGGCAGGGTGTGACGTCGACTAGGAAGCGCGGGAGGGGAATGTAGCTGAGGCAAACATAGGGCGAATGCGCGGGAAATGACCGCGATCGACCGTTTGATTACCTATTATCGAGCTCGGAGAGGAGATGCATGCACCGCAAACTGTCGTTTGCGCGGTCGCGCAGGGTTTCGACGACGACGCTGAGTAAAAAGCGGCGCCATCGCATAGAATCTGTTTGGTGTTTTTTTTTTTTTTTTCCGGTGGATTGGGCTCCAGCTCTATTGGCTTTCTGCTCTACCTAGGAGTTTCACGTGACTACTATGTGGTCGAGCATGACTGAATTACAACAATTTCCAATCTGTACACAGCTTGCCTTGCCCTACTCCCTTCAGGAGGGAGTGGTTGGGACTCTCGCCAACCAATTTTGGGCTTACGACTCTCTGCAGTTTTGCGGGCCGTCATTTGGTAACCAGAGAGGCTCGGGAAGTCAACTGTGGGCTCGGAAGGCAAACTGTGCACAGTTTGCCTTCCTTTTTTTGTAATTCAGGTCTTGGGCTTTAAGCGTTGTCGATTATATGTCCACTCGACAGCACAGCAGCACTGCTTGCTTCAGTTGTGCGCTTTGACGGACAATTTGGGTTTTGTTGCTGCGTTGCTGCAATACAGTTCCGCCACGAGCACTAAGAAATTCTCTGGTTGGTGATATTTGAAGCTGAGGGAAGGAAAGTGCAGAAGGGCAGACGGAGCAACTAGAACAAGAAACAGCATCTTTTTCCACGTGTACTGTTGCGCGTACAGACTCGCATCTTAGCTGCTTGACATTCCAGCGACTGAATTATTATTGTTCCTCTATCGAGTAACCTATGTGGAGGAATGTCAGGCTGTTAACTGTCAGCCAAGAAAGTGGTTTCTGTCGCTCCTCGTCGAGCGAAAGGTAGAAAGGTCATGGCTGAACTTCCAGAATCGTTTTTGACCGATCTAAAGATGGTCGATCAACCAGGCTCCGTGGGTGATGCGGTATACAGGCGTGCGGGTACGTCACCAGAAGTGGAGGACACGGGACGGACGATGAACGTAGACGGAAAAGTTGACGGAACAGATTGGTCGAATCCGTTAGGGTTTGAGAGCGCGCTGTGTAGAGAGGATACAGCTATGGCTATGGCTGACGAAACAGGAAGGATTCCCTCAAACGGAGCCGAATCTCAGCAGGAGCAAGACCAGCAACGGCAGCAACAACAGCTGGAGCAGCAGCGCGATCAGCTGGCGTCAGGTGCTGCGATGATGGCTGACGTGGCAGCTGGTGACGATGGCGACGGGAGCGACGGCGAGGGCTCAGGAGGCGAGGATGCGCACGCGGGAGTGATGTTTCCGCGAGCCAACACCAACGCCAAGGGACAATGGACGCCGGTACGCCTTATTGGGTATTTCGTTAGGATCGTCTTGTTTTCGCAAGCAAACACCAACCCCCAGGGTCCATGGATTCCGGTACGCATTCTTGGGTTTCCGGTTTCAGAAGATCTAGAACTAACCAGACACTAAGGGGGAGCGATGCTTCAGCAAGCGAACACCGACGTCAACGGATTCACTGGAATCCAGTAAGCATTTTTTAGGTTTCGGCTTGAGATGTTTTTTGCGGGTGGGAATGATGTTGTCGCGTTTCGCGAGCGAAAACGAATGTCAACAGATTCACTGGACCGCTGCACGGATTCTTAGGTTTTAGATTTGAGATGGGCTTTAAGCGAAGAAGAATCCCTAAGGTGGGCGATGTGTCTGCGAGCTTAGGCCAAGGTCAAGGGGTCCCGTATCTGGTTCGGTGGATTTTTTTTTTAGGCGCCTCAAAAAAATGTCAGTTAGGACGGACGGGATTCTTAGGCTCTGCGTTTCTTAAGCTCTGCGTTTATTAATCTCTGCGTTTCATGCTGGAGGGGGGTATTCTTTTGTTAGGTGAGTTCGTTTGAAGGGTCATCGAAGAAACTATGGGTCACTTCACGTTACGAGCTGCTGCGGAAACTGGTGGAGTGGAACGAGTCCTTGTTTTGCTCATTCACATCGCAGCTGTAGCTGCTGCTGAAGAGGTTCTTGACTTTCTCCCAACCCCCCGACCCCGACGATTCCCTTCACCTCTTCAGGAGGAGGACGAGCTGCTGCGGAAACTGGTGGAGAAGGACGGAGCCCAGCGGTGGTTTTAAGGCGCCTCAAAAGTTCCCTGTTTGCCCGACCTATTTGATCCCTTGACTTCAGGAGGAGGACGAGCTGCTGAGGAAACTGGTGGAGAAGGATGGAGCCCAGCGGTGGTCCGCCATTGCTGCTCATCTCAAAGGGCGCGCGGGGAAGCAGTGCCGCGAGCGGTGGCACAACCATCTCAAGCACGGCATCAAGAAGGTGAGACGTACAGAGGTGCATTTTTAGGTCAAGACATGGTGGTTGCACGTATCGAACATCTCTTTCTTGCGGGGAAGCAGTGCCGTGAGCGGTGGCACAACCATCTCAAGCACGGCATCAAGAAGGTGAGTGAGACGGAGAGAAAGCGAATTTAGGTCAATACAAGGTGGTTGAGAGTACTGAAAATGGTTCATACTCGCAGGGAGGCAATGCCGGGAGCAGTGGCACGATCACCTGAAGCATGGTATCAAGTTGGTGAGATGGAGAGAAAGCGAATCTTAGTAGGTCAATGCAAGATGGTTAAGTTTGAGAGTTTCGGAAATCGTTCATACCCGCGGGGAGGCAGTGATGTGAGCGATGGCGCAACCACCTGAAGCACGACATCAATAAGGTGAACTGGAGAGAATCAAGATATCGAGACATAGTGAGATGCATTTTTAGGTAAAAACATGGTGGTTGCGTGTATCGAAATTCTCTTTCTCGCGGGGAAGCACTACCGCGAGCAGTGGCACAACAACCACCTGAAGCACGGCATCAGGAAGGTGAGACGGAGAGAAAGTGGAACCTTATTTGCAGGGAGGCAGTGCCGCAAGGGAGTGAGCGAGTGGTGGTGGCACTGTGGCACAACTACCTCAAGCAAGGCATCAAGAAGGTGAGACGGAGATAAATAAGTCTGAACTTCGTGAGGCTAATATCAGAAAACGCTGGTTGCTGAGATTGAGAGTTCCAACACCCACCTCTCTTTCTCGCACCCCTTCCCCTCATTCCTTCCCCCCTCCCCCCCTTTTCATCCCTTTCCCTCCCCGTCTCCCTGCCTTATCCCCCCCCCTCTGACAGGACGCGTGGACGGAGGAGGAGGGGGCGAAGCTGGTAGAGGCGCACAGGAAGCTGGGGAACCGTTTCAAAGAAAGTTGTGCCAACAACCCCCTTGACCTTCCCTCACAGCTCCACCCCTACCCCTCCTTCCTGCTCTCCCTCCCCTCCCTCTGCGTTTGTTCTTCATGATTCTCGTCCCACAGGACGCGTGGACGGAGGAGGAGGCGAAGCTGGTGGAGGCGCACAGGAAGCTGGGGAACCGCCTTCAGAGGGGAGCCTTGTATGTGGGCATGATTCCCTCTCACAGCATTCAACGCCCCCCTCTCTCCCGTCTTCCCACAGGATGCGTGGACGGAGGAAGAGGAGGCGAAGCTGGTAGAGGCGCACAGGAAGCTGGGGAACCGGTGGGCGGAGATTGCCAAGCTGCTGCCGGGGCGGACAGACAACAGCGTGAAGAACCACTGGAACTCCACCATCCGCCGCAAGGTGGGGATTGGGGAGGGTTGTGTGTGAGGGGTGGGAAAGGATGAGTAGGCGATGGGGAGAGAGGGCAAGCGGTGCTGGGGAGGACAGCCAACAGCGTGCAGAACCATTGTAACTCCACCATCCGCCGCAAGGTGGGTCTGTGGGTTTGGGTGAATGGGGGGGAAGTGGTAAGGGAGTGGGCGGTAGTGGGAAGAGTGGGGGATATTGGGGGTGGGGGACAGTGGGAGAGTGAGGGAGAGGGAGAGAGTGGGGGAGAGGGGGAGAGTGGGGGAGAGTAGAGAGGGGAAGGGCAAGTCCTCTCGGAGCCAGGCAGTGCGGTGGTCCACACTGCTCCTCTTCCAGCCAGGCCAGGCCAGGTACATACAATCGCGCAGCAAGGCAGTGCAGCGGCCCACACTGCTCCTGAGGTACATTCAGTTGCTCAAGACCTCCCTTTCTCTCACCACCTTTCCTTTCCACCACCCCACCCCTCTCCGCCGCCTTGCACCGCCCCACACATCAGGAGGAGTCATCTCGCAGCAAGGCAGTGCAACGCCCCACGCTGCTCCTGAGGTACATCCAGTCGCTCAAGACCCCCCTTTCTTCCACCACCCCATCCCACCCCACCCCACTCCACCCCACTCCACCCCACTCCACCCCACTGCACCCCATTGCACCCCATTGCCCCACATCAGGAGGAGTCATCTCGCAGCAAGGCAGTGCAGCGCCCCACACTGCTCCTAAGGTACATCCAGTCGCTCAAGACCCAGGGGGGGCTGGGGAGCGCAGCAGGCAGCTCTGGCGGGGGGGGAGGCGGAGGTGGTATGGGGGGATTTGGGGGGAGCAGCTTCACTGGCGGAGGCCTTGGCGCTTTCAGCATGGGGGGAGGCATGGGGGGAGGCATGGGGGGAGGCATGGGCGGAAGCATGGGCGGAGGCATGGGGGGACCCATGGGCATGGACATGGGAATGAGTATGGGCATGGCCATGGGCGCAGGAGCAGGGGGAGGGGGAGGGATGGGGTTGAGTCTGGGGGAGCTGATGCAGGGGCTCGTGAAGGGGGAACCCGCGTCCCCCTCCGCGTCAGCAGGCCTGGGCGGGCTGGCTCTCCGCGTGGGTCAGGGAGGGCCCTTCAGAGGTGAAGGAGGGCCCTTCAGAGGTGAAGGAGGGCCCTTCAGAACCGCCGTTCCCCGCTCAGTCTCCCAGCCTAACAGCCATGCAGCGTCAGGAGCAGGAGTGGGAGGAGTGGGAGCAGGAGCAGCAGGAGGAGCAGTGTTTCCTCCTGGGTCATTTAGTTCAGTGCAAAGGGCAACAGGGGCAGGCAGAGCAGGGGGAGCAGCAGCAGGAGCGGGAGGAGCAGGGGGAGGAGCAGCAGCGGCGTTCCCACGCAACCCCTCGTGGCCTCCCGCGGGAAGCTCTATTTCCGATGGGGGGAGTTCCGGAGGGGAGGGAGAGGGGCACGAGCAGCAAGCAGGGATGCGGCAGTCAGGGGGGAGTGGCTTCACAACCGGAGCAGCACCAGGGGGGATGGGGCCAGTGGGAATGGGGGCAGGGGGGTTGGGGGGGAGAGAAATGGGGCCAGGGGGGATGGGCGCAGCTGGATTCATGCGCTCGTCGTCTCTCTCCGGGGCAGAGTCCCGGGCGCGCCAGCACAGCCGTGGATCGTTTCTCGGCGCGCGATCCGGGCCGTTGGATGCGAGCCGGGGCGGCGATCGACGGTCGGAGTTGGACCGGGCAGCGGCTGAGTTCCAGAAGGAGATCGCGAGGGCGTTGCTGGCGCCTGGCATGGGACGGGCCTTATTCATGCCTTTAGGGTATGCCAACACTGCAAATGCCCAAGCCGCCGCTGCCGCCAATGCCGCTGCTGCTGCCAATTCCGCTACCAATGCTGGTGCTGGTGTTGGTATGGGTGGTACTGGTGCTGCTGGTGGTTCTGGTGCTGCCCCTCCTCGTCTGTCTCTCTCCTTCCCCACTCCCGCCAACCCCGCCCAGTCCTCCTCCTCTGCAGGCTCCCCGTCCGGTCACTCCTTCTTTTCCCGCTCGCGCTTTGCTAAAAGTTCGTCTGTTCCTGGAAGAGTTTCTGCCTCTGGGTCGGAGGATGGGAGCCGTGGGGGATGGGGGCGGGTTGGAAGGGATATGGGCCCAGCTGGGGGAGCGGGAAGAGCAGGGGGAGCAGGGGGGGCAGCAGGGGGAGCAGCAGGGGGAGCTGGAGCAGGTGGGGGAGCAGCAGGATCAGAGCTGCTGGCGCTGCTGCAGCTGGTTCTGGATCCCTCCCTTGCTGCTACCATTGCTGCTGCTGCTGGCCCCGTGGGGGGTGGAGGAGGAGGAGGAGGAGGAGGAGGAGGAGGAGGAGGAGGAGGAGGAGGAGGAGGAGGAGGAGGAGGAAGAGGAGGAGGAGGAGGAGGAGGAGGAGGAGGAGGAGGAGGAGGAGGAGGAGGAGGAGGAGGAGGAGGAGGAGGAGGAGGAGGAGGAGGAGGAGGAGGAGGAGGAGGAGGAGGGGGGAGGGGAGGAGGAGGAGCAGGAGCGGGAGGAGGGGGAGGAGGGGGAGGAGGGGGAGGGGGGAGTATGTCTGCGTTGGATCAGGTGGCGAGTGTGCTGACTGCCGACCAGCTCGCCCTGCTGCTCAAGGTGAGTGAGGCCGTGGGGGGGCTTGATATGGGGGAATGAGGCACATGGAATGGGTGAATGAGGCACATGATATGGGGGAATGGGGCACATGATATGGGGGAATGGGGCACATGATATGGGGGAATGGGGCACATGATATGGGGGAATGGGGCACATGATATGGGGGAATGGGGCACATGATATGGGGGAATGGGGCACATGATATGGGGGAATGGGGAACATGATATGGGGGAATGGGGCACATGATATGGGGGAATGGGGCACATGATATGGGGGAATGGGGCACATGATATGGGGGAATGGGGCACATGATATGGGGGAATGGGGCACATGATATGGGGGAATGGGGCACATGATATGGGGGAATGGGGCACATGATATGGGGGAATGGGGCACATGGGCTGGGTGAATGGGGAGGGGGAGCAGGGATTTGTGTGTGTGCGTTGGATCAGGTGGCGAGTGTGCTTACTGCCGACCAGCTCGCCCTGCTGCTCAAGGTGAGTGAGGCCGTGGGGGCACATGGGCGACTGGGACTAGAATGCATGGGATGGGCGAATGGCGCACATGGGATGGGCGAATGGTACACATGGGATGGGAGAATGGCGCACATGGGATGGGCGAATGGGGTATATGGGATGGGCGAATGGGGTATATGGGATGGGCGAATGGGGTATATGGGATGGGCGAATGGGGTATATGGGATGGGCGTATGGGGCACATGGGTGAATAGGGGCGCATTTGTTGCCACAGCTCGCTTTCAGGACTCAGCAGTATCCTCGTTGCAATGGGCAACCCAAGTCTCTGCGTTTCTGCTTCATGCTTCACAAAGCAACATATGAATTTCATAGGTGGCGTTTAAGGATTTTCAACTCAAAGCTGCTCTGTGTTTGTGTCCGCATGCATGCATCTAGTTTTAGTTCTATGACATCCCGTTTCGTGCATTCTCAACGGGATTGTAGGACTTCGGTCAGTGCAGGTGCTGCTCTTTGAAGCAGATCGAACCCAACGGTCCCCCTTTTCAAACATTGCTTTGCTGTGTGGTCTCCCTACCTGGTGTGCCTTGCTTGCCTGGTGTGCCTTGCGCTGTGGTGGGCTGTTGCAGGTCCTTCAAGGGGACGTTCAGAGCCCTGGCAACGCACAATCGATGCAACAGCAAGTGCAGCAGCAGCAGCAGCAGCAGCAGCAGCAACAGCAGCAGCAGCAGCAACACCAGCAACACCAGCAGCAGCAGCAACACCAACAGCAGCAACAGCTACAGCAGATGCAGCAAGCACTGGACCTACAACTTCAAATCCTCAACATGCAATCGCAAGCCATGCAATCCCAGCCAATGGACGCATCTACTCATACTGCCGACCCTAACACTGCTGCTGCTTCTTTCAACACCAACACCACTGCCGTTCCTGCTTCTTCTGCTGCTGGTGCTCCTTCTTTCAACGCGCACGCCACTGCTGCTTCCGCTGCTGCTAATAACGCGGATGCCTCTGCTGCAGCTGCCTTTGCCCTGGACGGCAAGCTGCCGGACCTGTCAATCGACCCGGGGCCATTAGACTGGGCGGATGGGGACGGCATAGACGTGTTTGCACTGGAGGAGGGCGAGGAGCAGGCGCTCGTGCTGGCAGGCACTTCTGCGGCTGCTGGGGCTGCTGGGGTTGCAGGAGTAGGTGGTTCGGTAGCAATGGTAGAGGCACACGGGGTGCATCAGCCTGTGGGGTTTTCAGCCCCCGCTGCAGCAGCGCAAGGCACAGCAGGGGTCTTCACAGGAACAGGGACTCCTTCAGGAATCAATGCTCTCAGCATGACTGCCACCACTGCTCCTACCACTTCCGTTTCTCCCACTGCTCCTTCTGCTTCCACTGCTCCTTCTACCCACCCCACTGGTGCCGGCTTTTCTTTCCCCACTACCAGCCCCAAAGCTAGCCCAACATCTGCTCCCACCACTGCTGCCCCCGCAGCCGCCCCTGCAGCTGCTTTCGCAGCTTCCCCTGGCCTTTCCCTCCTCGCCCCATTCCCCTCCCCCTCCACCCCTTGGGGATCTGGCTGGGACCACGCCCCTTCTCCCGGCAAATCCAAGCCGTTGATCGAGGAGCTCCGGTTCCGTCCACGGCTGGGATTCTCCGAGGAGATCGGCGCAGGGCGATTCAGAGAAGCACATCAAGACGAAGGGGGGGATGGAGATGAGGACCTGGAAAGCCCCAGCTCCCCCTCCTGGTTCCCGGACCTGCGCCGAACCTGCAGCGACAACCCCCGGTCTGCGTTCCCAGCCTCGGGTGCCTCATCGCCAGACCACCACGGAACCAGGGGGGAACGTCTGTTCATACCCCAGAAAAGCGGGCTGGGGGGGGGTAAAAGCGCCGCTGCGTCTCTCACCCTCCCGCCTCTAATGTCTAAGAAACGTTCTATTTCCAGTGTCGGCCCTACCAGCCCCCGCTCCCAGTCTCGCTCCCTCCGGCCTTCCCTCCGTCGCAGTGTAGCAGGGCCGTTACCAGACGCACCGGTTACCATCATTGATGGGACGATTCAGCTCGTCGGAGGGCTGAGCCTCAACTCTAGTAAAGGAGACGGGAGAAGTGGTGGCAGGGGGGACGGGAAAGCGGATTCTCCGCCCCCTCCTTCACCCCTACCGCCTCCCCGGCCACCCCGGCCACAGGCCTTCCTAGGGGGAGGCAGCGAGAAAGGGGGAGGAGGAGGAGGGGAGCAGCAACAGGTGGCAGCAGCAGGAGGTGCAGCAGGAGGTGGAATAGGGGGAGCAGGAGCAGGGCTGTGGGGCAGCTTCAGTAGCAAGCAGAGCCGGGCTTTCCTGCAGGCGAACCAGCTGAACCTGTCCCCCCGGTCAGGGGGACCTGGGGGAGGTGGGACTCTGTCGTTTGGACAGGAAGGGGGGTTCGAGGGGGAGGTAGATCTGGTGAAGGCTGGTGGCTGGGGGAATGCGGGCGGGGAAGGGGGAGCAGGTGGGGCGGGTGGGGTGGATGGGGCAGGAATGGGTGAAGATGGGGAGCTGGGCGTATCTGGGCAGGCTGTACCTGCGTGCCAGCCATTCAGGATGAACCTGGCGAATTCAAGGTTCAACCGCAGTCGCAGCATGCCCATGGAGCGACCGCCGCCCAGGACCGGCAGCAGCGGCATGGGGACCGGTGGGCATGGCGTGGGCAGGAGTAGCGGCTTGGGAGGGGGCGGTGGTGCTGGTGGTTCTGCTGGTGGGGCTGCTGCTGGTGGTGGTGGGTTTGGTGGCCATGCGGGGGGGATGGTGGCGAGCCGGTTTGCCTTCCAGGGCAATGCTGGCCCTTCCAGCAGTGGTAGCAGTGTGGGTGCTGCTACTGCCGCTGGTGCCACTGCTGCTGCTGTGCGTGCTGGTACGGACGCTTCTATGGGTGGGGTCACAGGAGGTGGCGTTGCAGGAGGAGGAGCAGCAGGAGGAGGAGGAGGAGGAGCAGCAGGAGCAGCAGGGGCAGCAGAAGGGGCAGCAGGCAGCGGGTCAGGGGCAGGCGAGCTGCTGGATTCCAATGTGGCGGATCTGGTGGCTGCATGGCTGTCAGAGGAGAGTCCCAACTGTGTGGACGGGGGTGGTGCGGCAGGAACACAAGGGAGTGTGGGAGGGGTGGGTGGGGGTGCGATTGGGAGTGAGCTGGTGCAAGCGGGGGAGAATTCGCGGCCGAGTTTGGCACAGCTGCAGCAGGCGATTGGGGAGCAACTCAAGGTGAGACGACCTGAATCGGCCTTGTCTGCTTTTCGATTTGCGCAGTAATTGCTTCCAGACGGAATTTTCTATCTATCTTCCATGTCTCACACTAAGTTTATTCAATATTATCCATAAAAATCATGGCAGGGATCTGGACCAGAGTCTCTGTTTCCCTCGCCTGGGATCTTCCCTGACTCGTCTGGGCATCACTTTGGTCGAAGTGTTTCGTGCTTCTCTAGCATTGATGGGCCAAGCTCAGCTTCAAAGGGTTCTGATGCCGCAGCTATAGCTGCAGTTCTTGCTTCAGCAGGCCTGGATGGCTTTGATGGGTCTCCAGGGTTGCTTCAGCGGCTTGTGGGTTTTACTTCTGGTGGGCATGGTAGCCAGCAGCAATAGCAGATACTAAATGGATAATTTTTCTAATATAGAACAGAAGCATATTTTGATGTAGGATACTTTCATTGATCTAAGAGCATGTTCCTACGGCCTCTAGTCAGGCTGGCCTCTTGTCAGACTCGCCTCAAACACTAATGTTTCGGCTTAACCCTACTTTTTATTTATTTCTTTCCGTTGCTTGGTGAAGTGCGCGACACAATGAGTGGGGTGACGTGGCACTGCGCAGCGCTCCCGTTCCGGAAGGTTGCAAAGGTACAATTGTTTCCTGAGTCCTGACAAATCACAAACGACCGAAACGTGCGCTTGGTGGCTGTAAAATCTTCGTCTGCGCGAATAACTGACCTGGCTCGCCGAAACAGCACGTGTGATAGGTTTCGCGTGACCAATTCATCGTGCAGCACCGTTTGTTTTGAAGTCTGAAAAACGGTGTTAATAACGAAATCGCTCGAATGACCAAGTCTGACAAGGGCCCAGCCTGACTAGAGGCCGTAGGAACATGCCCTAAGCCAACTAGGAATAACTAAAACTGTTACGGGGTACTTTACTGTGAGTGCCTGGGACTGCAGGAGGACGAGGACGGGCGACACGACGAGCACGAACAGGTGTGGAAGCACGAGTCTCAGGCTCACGATGCTCAGTCAGGGACTCAGTCACCTCAATGTGAGGAGCAGGAGCCGGCAGCGGGGAGCCAGGCAGTAGCTGTGGCTGAGACTGATCTGTCGGTGGACACAGGAGAGGTGGAGTGAGGCAGAGCCTATGTTTGGTTTTTGCTACTCATGATTAGCCTTTTTCAAAACCCTTCTGATCAGTGTCTAAATTTTTGTTACACTGATGTATCAGTGTAACATTGAATTTCAGAAATGTTACCCCAGAGCATCAGTGTAGTATTTTTGTGTACCCTTATCACAAATACATATTGACTAAGTTCAGGCAGCATCACTGTACGTGATGCCAAGATTCCTTTCCTTGGCGTGCTGGATACCGAACCGAAACATAAAAACGTGACCAATTAGACACATGACTGCTGCCAACGCACTTACTGCAGGGAAGGCCGCTTCGGTACTTGCATGATTGACGGAAATCTTCGCTAAGGGAAAATTTACCCCAGAGCATCAGTGTTGTCAGAATCCCAACCACTAGACCATTGGGATAAAAGGGCTTGTTTCAGTAGCGGGTCAGTGCGCCCATAACCCCCCAGGCAAACGCGCCTGTAACCCCCCCTAGGATCGATCGGGGATCTCACAGTGTAGCTCTACTGACACCCCCCCACACTGGGAGGCCCAGGACTGAGCACAGTGGCAATGGCCAACATGTGCATACACCGGGATTCGAACCCGAGACCGCTCTGATACCATGTCAGAATCCCAACCACTAGACCATTGGGATAAAAGGGCTTGTTTCAGTAGCGGGTCAGTGCGCCCATAACCCCCCAGGCAAACGCGCCTGTAACCCCCCCTAGGATCGATCGGGGATCTCACAGTGTAGCTCTACTGACAAGTGTGGCCTAAATCGTTTCACTGTCAAATCGGTGTAACACTAATCCCAAAAAAAAAAACCCAAACACATCAGTGCAATCAGTGTAACATTGAATTTCAGAAATGTTACCCCAGAGCATCAGTGTAGTATTTTTGTGTACCCTTATCACAAATACATATTGACTAAGTTCAGGCAGCATCACTGTACGTGATGCCAAGATTCCTTTCCTTGGCGTGCTGGATACCGAACCGAAACATAAAAACGTGACCAATTAGACACATGACTGCTGCCAACGCACTTACTGCAGGGAAGGCCGCTTCGGTACTTGCGTGATTGACGGAAATCTTCGCTAAGGGAAAATTTACCCCAGAGCATCAGTGTGGCCTAAATCGTTTCACTGTCAAATCGGTGTAACACTAATCCCAAAAAAAAAAACCCAACCACATCAGTGCAATCCCAAAAAAACACCCTTCTCATCAGTATAGCAGTGTGATTTACACTGGTAAAATAGGCCCTGGAGTGAGGCCAATGGAAGACGGAAGACTAAGAACCTGGCGAAGGACCGAGTCAGGCGGCGGCAGGGACGACTGCGGCTGCGGGTAGAAAAACGGTCGGCGCGGGGCAGTACCAACAGCACCACGAGCTCCGGCAGCGCCAGCACCTCTAGCACCAGCAGTACCTCCAGCACCTCCAGCGCCAGCAGCTCCAGCAGCACCTGCAGTACCTCCAGTAGCACCTCCAGTACCTCCATTAGCACCTCCAGCACCTCCAGCACCTCCAGCACCAGCAGCACCACCAGCTCCGGCAGCTCCAGCACCTCCAGTACGTGCACCTCCAAGACTAGCAGCTCCAGTACCTCCAGTACCTCCAACTCAAGCGCCTCCAGCATCTCCAGCACCTCCAACACCAGCAGCACCAGCACCTCCAGTGCCAGCAGCTCCAGCACCTCCAGCACCAGTAGCACCTCCAGGACTAGTAGCTCCGGCACCTCCAGCACGAGCAGCACCTCCAGCACCTCCAGGACTAGCAGCTCTAGTACCTGCAGGATCATACCCTCCACCACCAGGACTGCCTCGCCGAACGATCCACGCACGAATCACATGCGGCGAGAGCGTCTCAAGTAGATCAGGCTGTGGTGGCTGTCCAGCTCCAGGACCTCCAACAGGGTAACCCACAGCTCCACTGCCACTAGGACTCGCAGCACCCCAAGAGGCAGCACCCCCACTCGCAACACCCCCAGTCGCAGCACCCCCAGAACCAGCACCCCTAGTCGCAGCACCCCCAGAACCCTCACCCTCTATCTCAGCACCCCCAGGCTCAGCACCAACAGTCTCAGCCCCATAGTCCACTGTAGCAGGCTGCGGAGGCGGCGAAGACGGCCGAGGCAGAAAACCAGGGAGGGTCTCCAAGCGTAGAGAGCGGCGAGTGGCCGTCGTGTCGTCAGCGGCGGGGTCACCCCCCTTAGCTGGGCCAGAGGAGTCAGAAGAGATCTCCAAAGGCTTGACCAAGGGGGGGTGGGTCTACCTGAAACACACCTGAGGGAACAAGACCCTGTGGGGGGAAGGGGTCTACCGGGGGGGGGGACTGGTACCAAGAAGAGAGGCGCTAGAGGGACCGGGTGGGACGCGTGCGGGTGTAGCCTGTAGAAACAGACAGACTCGTCAAATGTGACGTCCTGGGAGGAGAAAACTCGACGCGAGCACGAGTGGTAGAACTGCCAGGGCGGGGCGTCGGTGGGGAAGCCAAGGAAGACGCAGCGGAGAGTGTGAGAGGAGAAATTGCTTGCTTTGGCATCGCGAACAAGGAAGAGTGCGCCCCAGACTTGAAACACCGACGCATCGCCAACCTTCTCCGTCCACCGGAGTCTTGGCGAGGTCTCTGGCTCAGAGACACGAGGCCAGAGGTTGAGCTGATGCGCAGCGTATCGGACCGCAAACGGCCACAGAAAATGGGGAGCAACCGCATGGATCATGGAGGTACGAGCAACCTCCATGATCAAGCCAATGCGATGCTCAGCAATCCCATTCTGCTGAGGAGAGGCTGGAAGCGTGAACGTCTGACGGATGCCCTCATCTTGACAGAACTCCTCATGGAGGCCAGAAGAGAAATCAGTGTGCAGAGTGCAGACGCAGGACTGGCAAGTCCCGATGAAACCGCTCGCGCAGCTGGCGACGAGTAGCACGGATCCAAGGGATCAAAACACCGCTGACGTCTGCCTTGCGCCGCAAGGGGAAGACAGTGGTGTAGCGTGTGTAGTCATCAGCAACCAGCAGGAAGTAGCGCTCCTGGTTCGTTCCACCGATGGGGGTCGGGCCCCACACGTCCATGTGGAGAGTCTGCAAAGGAGCAGTGGTCGGAGGAAACTCGGAGGAGTGAGGAGCAGCGCGCTGCCACCCCTCGACGCAGGGAAGGCACGGCGGTGCAGGCGAGCGCAGGAGGAAGGGCAGGGACCTGGGAAGGACAGAGACAAGGAGACGGGAGTGCATGCTGCGGAGACGCGGCAGTGAGGGGTGACCTAGGCTGTGGTGCTAGAGAAGAGTCTGGTGAGAGATTAGCCGACACGAGCAAGACGCTGCAAGCTGACCAGACACAGACACCCGACTCGACGCAGCCACCTGACCTGACTCAGCCACCTCTGCAGACGAAGTGGTCAGTGTGTACAGTCCGGACCTAGGCTGACGAGTGAACGTAGCAAGGTGACGGCCAGTCCGTGAGCACTTGTAGATCACCACACGTTGTCCTCCAGGAATGAAGGTGTCAACCCATGCATCCTGGAGAACAGCGTTGCTCAACAAGTTCGTCGAGAACACGGGGAGGTGGAGACATGAAAGAGACCCGGAGGGGACTGCTGGACAAGGGAGGATAGTGGAGGCTCGTGCGACTACTGGGTCCCCAGTGGGGTCAGCCAGTGAGACTGGTACCGGTGCAGCAAGTGGTGTGAGTGTGGGGCAGTCACGAAAGAAGCAGCGTGACGCGCCTAAGTCAAGTGTGAAAGTGTGCAAGGCCTCAGCTGAGGCAGGACCTATGGCAGTAGACGCACGAGCACCTAAAGCTGCAGCAGACTCACTAGCAGCTGGAGCGGCAGCAGACTCACTAGCACCTAGTGCGGCAACAGACTCACTAGCACCTAGAGCAGCAGCCTCTACAGAACCAGAGACACATCGCTGAGAAACCAACTCACTAAGCAGCTGCGG